TTATCCGAACAAACTTTTGTTCAACTTTAAACCATTATTATTATTATCTGTGTGAACACGTGAGCAAATAGATAGATAGAAAAAAAATTCTATCTTTACTATTACTATTGAATGTAATCAACCGCGATATATATCAACAAACAATATATTTTTTCATTCATTCAATATGACCATGTGGATGGTAAGATATTTTTTTTATTTCATTTCATTCATTCATTCATCGATCTCTATCTGTATTTCTTTCTTTCTTTTGGGATTTTTTTTTCTAATATCAACAATCAAACCAATCCTATCATCATTTTTATATTTATAAACACATAATGAATCCATTTTTATCGTTGTTGTTTTTGTTGTTGTTGTCAAACATCTATCATCAGAATGATAATATTTTTCAGTTTTCTTTTCTTTTTTCGTCATCTTGATGATGTCGATAATGATAAGGTGGCCGTTATATTTATGTGTTTGTAGTTGAAACCAAAAAAAAAAATCCATTGTTTATAATCATCATCAAATGTCTTGTTTTGTTTTGTTTAAATCGTTTATTTCAGTTATAATGTTAGTCATGTAATTTTTTTTTTGTTTCTTCTTGTTTTTCCTGTATGACAGCAGCCTTTCGTAACAAAAAAAAGATATAAATTTCATGTTGATGGTGATCTAAATGTTTGCACGCAATAGCTCTATTTTTTTCTCTTTCTTTCTCTATGTCCACCACCATCATTCTCTATTTGTAAATGAAGTTTTTTGTTCAAAGATATTCTAATTGATTTGAATAATAATGTTTTTTTTTTTTTTTTTTAAAAAAATTCCAGTTAATTTTTTGAAATGAAATGGGTTTCTCTGTGCCTTCAAAAATGGTCCCCATNTTTTTTTCTCTTTCTTTCTCTATGTCCACCACCATCATTCTCTATTTGTAAATGAAGTTTTTTGTTCAAAAATATTCTAATTGATTTGAATAATAATGTTTTTTTTTTTTTTTTTGAAAAGAATTCCAGTTAATTTGTTGAAATGACATGTGTTTCTCTGTGACTTCAAAAATGGTCACCATCATCTTCGGTGATGTCGATGATAATGATAGTGATGATGTCCATTCAAATTCATGAACATGGAGATTGGAAGAAAACTAAAACCTCCATTAAATTTGTAAACTAATCACCCGAAAAAAATTGCAAAACCTGTTGCAGTTTTTGTACGGGGAAGAAAAAATGATTTTGTTTTGTTTCTTTTTGCAATTTAAAATCTAATCTAAATTCTTGTTCATAAATGTTTAACACTTTATGATGATGATGGGGATGATAACAGCAACAAATTTAAATCTGATTTTAAAATTATTTTTCAATATTTTTTTCAACCTAGAACTATTTTTTTTGTTGCCTGTGTTTGTTTTGAATACTCTTTCAATCACTTACTGCATTTCTCTTTTTTTGCTTTCCATGATGATGATGATACTTGGGGATGTCGAAAATTTTTTTTTACATACCACATTTGAACAAGAACATTATCAATAACAACAACAACAACAAACAAACATCTGATCATATTTATCCTTATAGGATGTGAACATCCGTTGCCAATATCTATCTGTTATTTGTCAAATTTATTGGATATATCCTCCCCTCATATCGATTGTATTTTTTTTTTGACCAGAAAAAAAAGAGAAAAATTTTAAAACTTTTTTTTAAACAATTGATTTAAATCCTGTTGAAATTTTATCATTTTGTTTGGATAGTTTGTTTGTTGGTGGTTGAGAAAATTTAAAAAATTTGAAAAAAAAATTTGAAATTAGGATTTTTCTACAACTTCATAATATATATCCAAAAACTTGTGTTGTTATGACATTCTTTTATTTGGTCCAATTTTAACGTTTGTTTATCTTTATAATCATCATTACTATTCATTCGCATAATCATAATCGTTGTTCTCTTTTTTTTTCGTTTTGTTCATTATCATCGTTATTTAATGTTGTTTTTCTTCTTCTTCTGAACACACACACACACACACACACACACAATTTGTCTCATTGTATAATTGTTGAATTTTTTTTCTTCTTCGTAAAAAAATCTCTTGCAATCATTTTGATTCTTCGTTTTCGCCAACAATTCATTTTAATGAAAACTAGGATGGCGCCCATTTTTTTTCGTTTCGGCAAAATTTATGTACGCGTGTGAATGAGTGAGAGAGTTATCAATTACACATTAGGCACTACTATAGTACAACAACAACAACAGAAATCTTTCAATCACAACATTTTGAACATTTTAGATTTTTTTTTCTACCATTCATTCATTCAATTTTGAATTGCCACTTGACTGTTTGATGATGATGATGATGAACTACTGCAACAAGTGATGAATATATAGATTAAATGAACAATTTCATTATTATTATTCGACTCTTTTTCGATTTTTCAAGTGAACATTATTGTATTATGTGATCGTTGTGTGAATCAAAAAATCATATTGATATCTATCGATCTAGTTTAATTGATTCTTGTTTTTTTTGTTATTAATGTTTTTTTTTGTTGTATATTTAAAGTGACAGCAGTGACCTATACTATTGTCTATCATTCTGATTCGATTAATTTTTTCTTGAAAAAAAAGTTTCTTTTTTCCTTTGATTATAAATCGATCATCATCATCACACCCTTTATCAATAGGTCATCAATATCATGAATAAATAATCTTCGTTCGATACATATAGAATAGGGATTTTTTTGTGAAATAACTTTTTTTTTGGGTTTCTATTTTTATTGCTCATGATTTTCACACACACAAACATAAAACCAATGCCAAAAAGAATATCATTATTACTTGTGAATCAAGCAATGAATGAATTCAATGCGTAGGAAGATTGTATTGAATTGAATTTTTTTTTCTTAATCAAAAAATCCTAATAACAGTCGAAAAACATTGTAAAGATATCCAGTGTGTACTGTTTTCGGGAAAAATCTTTGTGTGTGTGTTTAAAAATAATTTGTCATTGACACCTGAGATATTGACTCCATTGAATTAAGTTTCTGTTTTTCTGCTTGCTTTTTGTTCTTCTTCTTTATTTCAACCAAAAAAAAAGACCGATGACCGAGAAAATTAAGTGCGCTCATCCGATAATAGAAGAAAAAAAATACCGAAAAGCGGTCATCATAAAAAGGTTCGACGAACCTATATAGTTCAGATTGATCGTCATCAACATTGTGATCACAGTAAATCATTGATAAAAATAATCATCACATACCAGAGTGCCATTTCATTTTCTATGAATATTTGATTGAAAATTTTTAATTTAAAAAAAATGTGTTCAATGACTATCGATCCATTGACAATGGTACAAGCATCATCATCATCGTCAATGATGACGACGACAACAACAATGAATCGTAAATTGAAAACNTTTTTTTTTGTTGTATATTTAAAGTGACAGCAGTGACCTATACTATTGTCTATCTTTCTGATTCGATTAAGTTTCTTTTGATTATAAATCGATCATCATCATCTACACCCTTTATCAATAGGTCATCAATATCATGAATAAATAATCTTCGTTCGATACATATAGAATAGGGATTTTTTTTGTGAAATAACTGTTTTTTTGGTTTCTATTTTTATTGCTCATGATTTTCACACACACACACAAACACAAAACCAATGCCAAAAAGAATATCATTATTATTTGTGAATCAAGCAAGCAAAAGGATGAATGAATGAATTCAATGCGTAGAAAGATTGTATTGAATTGAATTGAATTTTTTTTTTCTTAATCAAAAAATCCTAATAACAGTCGAAAAATATATAAAAACATTGTAAAGATATCCAGTGTGTACTGTTTTTTTTTCGGGAAAAATCTTTGTGTGTTTGTGTTTAAAAATAATTTGTCATTGACACCTGAGATATTGACTCCATTGAATTGAGTTTCTTTTTTCTGCTTGCTTTTTGTTCTTCGTCTTTATTTCAACCAAAAAAAATAAGACCGATGACCGAGAAAATTAAGTGCGCTCATCCGATAATAGAAGAAAAAAATACCGAAAAGCGGTCATCATTTGATTAAGAAGAAGGAGAAAAAGGTTCGACGAACCTATATAGTTCAGATTGATCGTCATCATCAACATTATGATCACAGTAAATCATTGATAAAAATCATCATTTCATTTTCTATGAATATTTGATTGAAAATTTTTAATTTAAAAAAAAATGTGTTCAATGACTATCGATCCATTGACAATGGTACAAGCATCATCATCATCGTCAATGATGACGACGACAACAACAACAATGAATCGTAAATTGAAAACGAAAAAATCCTGTTGTAATTATGATGATATTTGTTGCCATTGTTGGCTTAATCTATTCGATGGATATTATAGTTGTTGTAGTCGTCGATGTTCAATCAATGTTAATGATTTTGATGAAAAATCTTTATCAACGACCACAACAACAACAACAACACATAAACATTATCATCCACATTATCATTATCATCATCGTGAATCATGTTATCCAAATTATTATAGCCAAAATTCCATTAAATCAACTATAGCGACTATTTCAACATCTGAATCAGGGAATTTTAAATCAAATAAATTTCATAATGATTGTTGTAATGAAAATCATCAACAACAACAACAACAAAAACTATTATCATATGAAAAAAAACCAAATAAAATTGGCCAAAATAATCAATCAATATTTGTACATAACATTAATGATTATGATCAACAACAACAACAATTGATGGGAAATACATCCTGTCTTTATTATTTATATCATCAAGTTTATCCAATGTTTAATGTAATGAACAAAATATTTCATTTATATAAATATAGTCTAATTTCTTTTGTTGTAAATTTTGAAAAAAAGACAGGATAGAAAAATACAAGTGCTTTTCGAATGTTTTTTTTTGTATGAATATAATCAATATTTTATATTTGTCGCATCATTTTCAATTCTTTAAACACATATACTAATCTTTCTATTTTAATTTCCTTTTTCCTTTATTTTTTTTCATTTTAGTGCCTAAAAGAATCGCAAAAAGTTTCGGTGATTGAAAGGAAATCCTCTTCGAATAGTACGACGACAAATACTACTTCGAATAATAATAATAATAATAAAATTGCAGCCGTTTCCAGTATTGGTGGTCGTCATCATGGTAGTTTATTGAAATCTAATTCATCATCATCAACAACAAATTCATCTTCTGGTTCAACCGGAGGAACGGGTGGCGGTGGTGGAAGTGCAGCGAGTAATTTTTTCAAATTATTCACTTCATCATCTAAAGCGAAAATACCTACATTTGGATTTTCATCTTCTTCATCGAACAATAACAACAACAACAACAACAATAATGCCTCAACACATAATAATCTCGATCAAAATACAACGAACAATGTTGGTGGTGGTTCAACATCATCAACAATTTCATCAAATTCATCACTCAATACAGTCACCATACGTGCAGATTCTATATTGTCCGGTTCGAATGATCCTGAATCAAATTCTATCGATAATCATCATCTTACATATGAAACGACTGGTAGACTTGATCAACATCGTCAACAACAATATAAAATGGTCAACGGACATGAAACAAGATTGACAATCAAATCAATATCGGTCGATTCAGCCAATCCTGATAATAATTCAATAAATCAATCTTTAACAGCAACGATTGTTCTTGAACCGGTCATGCCTTCAAATGAAATTCTATTTCGAAAATATTTCACCTTTTACGATTTGTTATCTTCGATTAATCTGCATAGGCTATTTGTTGATAATTCTATTTCGAATCTTGAAGGACCATGTTCTTCGCTGTTAGATTTGACGAGAGGAACGACACCTACCAACAATGGAAACAATTCAACAACAACAGTAACGGTGAATCCGAATTCAAATCAAACAGTCACAACGTTCGAATCATCAACATTATCATCCACTTCCTCATATTCATCCTGTACCTCTTCCATGTCATCATCATCACATCAACCTACTACTGCAAATTCTCGGCCACAATTATACCAATCATTGACCAAACATAATTATAGTCAATTTCCTGTTCCTTTGAATCAGACCGATATTGGTAATGAATTACTCGCACCTAGTCCCAATTTTCTTAACGAGTGAGTTTTTCTTGCATTTTAATTGTTTTGAAATGTTTCATTTTTAAAAATTATTTTAACATTTGTTAGAATTGGATGCGAGCGGCAATACTCTATCGAATTAACATGGAATAATGGTTTCAAAGAAGAGATTCCTTCGTCAATGTTACAACAGCAGCAACATGAAGAAGTGTCATTTGATTCATCCTCATCGTATCTATTACGAAATACCACCGAATCCTCATCCTTGTCAAATAAAAATTCCTCATCGATTGATGTACCAAGACAATTTCATCCTCCATCTTATTCTAAACGAATCAATATATTCAGTGATGCATCACCGTTTGTTGCGTACACGCAGCATTCGGTTATGTCTGATCTTTATGGTGGTGCTAACACCAGTGGTACATTACCATTAAATCATACGCATTCTGGTGCTAAAAAATTGAGCGATCTAGATTTTCAAGATCTTGATGATGGTTTCGGATCATTATCATCTGCATCGTTGTCATCAACATATCCAGGCATGACAAATCTGGTCGGTGGTGGTTCGTGTTCACAATCTTCTACATTTCAACCATCTCTTCAACCGGGTTCACATTCCCGATGTCCATTCGGTTCAACAGCCGAAGTCTGTAATTTACTTGAGATGGACTATGGTACTAGTTACTATAGGACACATTTTCGTGATTTTGAACATCAAAATTGGTTACAAATCAATGATAAATACGGACCAATCATTGTTTCGCTTCGTAAAGAACGTGTAAAAACATCAAACAATTCAGCAATATCATCATCTTCATCGAATCATTCTTCATCTTCCTCATCGAATTCAAATTCTTCCAATGTTACTATCAGATGGAGGGTGATTGTTCGTACAACGAGTCTGATACCTTTGCGTGGAACTATTGCTACTCTTCCATCGATCTGTTTGCCTACAGGTATGCCAGGCAGCGGTTCATTAGATGCTAGTAATAGTAGTTCCCGGCGATCATCGAATTCCGATCATTTCAATATAAATAGTGTTCGTGATGTATTATCATTGGTTGTGCCCAAAAGTGTCAATGTTGCCAATTTCAGGTAATTTTTCTAAATTCTAGCTGAAAAGTTCATCATTCCTAACTATCATTTATCCCATTATTTAGACTCGGTTCACCTACTGTCATATCACAATTGCTCAAGATTGATGAAATGTCTCAAAATACCGAATATAAGATTGGCGTACTCTATGCATATGGTAATCAACATAGTGAAGAGGAATTCTACAATAACATACTTGACTATTCTTCATCGACGAGAAGCTCATTTTATGATTTTCTTGGCCTGATATCCAGTCGTATTCGCTTAAAAGAATTCAAAGGATACAAAGCAGGTCTTGATGTACAGAACGATACTACGGGTGAATATTCTTGGACTGCCAAATTCGGCCATACTGAAATCATGTTTCATGTTTGTACGGAGCTTCCTTTCAACAGCACAAATAGACAACAGTAAGTTTTTTTGAAGAAAAGTAAAAATTTTCAAAATGATCAACCATTTTTTTTGACAACAGACTTCCTCGAAAGCGTCACATAGGAAATGACATTGTGACCATAGTGTTTTTGCATGAAAATTTCAATGGTTCTCCTTTTACACCAGCTTTGATCAGATCCAAATTTCAACAAGTCTTCATTATTGTCAAACCATTCCAAAATGGAAAGTATTTTCGAGTAGCAATAGCACGTCATAAGCTGGTTCCATTGTTCGGACCACCAGTCAAACCTTATTATACACGTCAAGAGTTAAGAGAATTTATTCTAACTAAAATCATAAATGCTGAAAATGCGTAAGTGTGCATAATGTTTTTTATGATGGCGATCATGTATAATTATTTTTTCTTTAATTTAGATGTCATTCGGTCAATAAATTTGCCGAAATGGCCAAACGAACTCGACATGAATATCTGACAGAAATGTGTCAGAAACATTCATTAACACAAACGGTTGCCCATGTCGATTCAAGTCTAAGTTCTAATTCGTTGAATTCGTTCAAAAAATTATGGACTCTAAGTGCAACAAATAATTCATCATCAGGCAATGATCATTCATCGTCAAAACATCGAAGTAAATCCGAACTTATTGATGGAAATTCATTGAATCAACTGCCTTATGTTGGCCATATTCTTAACGGTATTAGAGATCCTCCTACGTTAAATGGTGCAATTCTTTTTTCTGAGCGATGCGCAGGTTCTTCAGTTCCTTCAAGATTATATGTCCATGATTACTATGCTAATCGTGATGTCGAAGTGCAACTTCTTTTGTCAAATGAAGCAATTCTGGTCATAGAAGCGGCTACAATGGAAGTTATCTGGGCTGCCCCTGTTACTTCGATAATTGGCTGGACCGATTCTCGTGGTGTTTTTGCTACATCATCTGCAAACTGCGTCATATCAAATATTCGTCAAACAGCATCAACTTCAAACTCAGGTGGTAGTTCCATAAACAAGCTATTTGGTGATAAAAAATCAAAATCAGTTGATTCTGAACCTTCAGCCAATCATTGCTCAATGCTAAACGATTCCAGTCGTGAACTTCGATTGTATTATCATCAAGGTGAATGCATTCAACTAATGCAACGTCCAATAAATCCAGCTTTAAAACAAAATCAGAATGAACCTAGTTTGGTGAATGGAAAATTATCATCCAAACATCAGCATCAAAATTTAGCTAATCAACGAAATAATGATCCATTTTTGATGTTGATTCGTGTACTCGAATTGATCACCTGTAAATCTGAATTAAGAGCCATTGTTATCAAACGTAAATCATCAGCAACACGATCTATTACCTCAAAATCCGCTTCCAATACGCCAGAACATCGTAAATCTTCACCACCACATTCATTGTCCAATATTGAACCAGTTGGAACATGTGGCGGTGAATTCGGTTTTCAAATGAAAATGTCAACCGGCATCATTGAAGAAATTTTCGATCAAACACTTTCTATTTATCATTTAGTTCCAGGATGCAAAGTCCTTGAAATCGACAAGATAAGTTTCGCTGCTATGGCAATGGATGAATTGCAAGAGCTGGTCAATTCTTCATTGATCATGTGTCTAACATTTACTCCATATGATTTTGCTCGTCTTCATCCTCGATGTAATTGCCCGTGGCCAAAAGCCCTTCAACTTCAACACAAACAAAAGGTAAAGCAATGAATTTGTCAAATATTTCATAATCGAATTTATTTGTTTTGTTTGTAAAAATAGTCTCAGCAAACTCCTCCGAGCGATTACGAAAATGTAACAAAAAGTCTAACAAATACACCATTAAAATCTTCATCTTCGATGATTGTTTCTTCGTCATTTTTACCATTGCAAACTTCTGCATCATCGACAACATCATTATCTGGTCCGAATTCTGGAGTGAAAACGATTCATATTACTCAGAATAATTCAATAAATCAACAAATCGAAAGTAATGTTCCTAATGCATCATCTCCATCGTCTACAAATTCAAGCTATTATTCACCGAATACTGTAGCAACAAGCAATAGTAATCAACAATCTTATAATAATAGCTTTTCAATTCAACATGGTCAACTGTCTCAGCAGCAGCATCAGTTATATTCAGCAAAATCTGCAACAAGCTTAAATCAATTGTATCATCAACAACAACAGCAACAATCGCCAATTAAAATTGCATCATCTGGTCAAAATCTTTCTTCATCTCCTTTAACGACTTCAACTTCTCTTTTTAATCATCAACAGCCATATCGGACATTGTTAGCAAATAATAATCGTTCCGCACATTCACAAACAGCGATTACGACTCAACCTTCTACGTTGAAAGGTATGATATTTCATGTTTAGAGATATTAAAATTAATGATTGATTAATCTTTTTCGAATTTATAGATAATTTGATTAGATTGATCACGATGGATGATTACAATCAAAATGTTTCACCAATGGATTCACCATCAGCCAAAAGCGATTTAAATGATGTTACCCCTCTTGTTGTGGGAATTGGACATCAAACCAATGATATGTCTGACGATGCAGCTAAAACTTATTATGGCCATTGTCATGAGACAAGCTCTCGTCGACCACAGACAATTGGTGGAGGTCAATATAGTATTACGACTTCAAACACTCCTATTCACAACTGCCAACAACAACATTATCGTTATTCGACAGGACCAAAACATGACACAGAATCGACATATAGTTCATATGCACCAATCGGGCCAACATCGAATTGCAGATATTCAACTTCGTCGCAATATTCTTCTCAAAGTCGAACATCGTCAGGTTCGAATGCACAGACAACAATTCATGTCAATGCTAGCCATATAACAGTACCAGTCATTTCTGGACAGCAACCACAACAACAACACACAATGTTAGTGCGAACCGGACCATATGGTAAAGAATCCACTACAGATTTGAAAAATTCATCTAGTTCAAGTAATCTAACATCAGTGACAGCAACATCTGAAAATAATGATTGCTATTTGCTCACAGCTCAACCTGTTCGTGTGGATGCCTCAAATGGAGCTTCAATTACAAGCTCATCTACGGCTAATAATCAGCCTCAACAACAGCAACAAGTTGAATGTGTAAATGATGAAATAATCAATGTTATTGCACCTACAAACACGGCAGTATCAAATAATTCAATGATGAGTCAATCGTATGATTGTAATAGCCTTTATCAATCATTGCTAACTGGTTCGATTCATTCGGCTGGTGATCCGATTGGTGACATTGTATGGCCTTCCATGCATTCATCAATGGATCATCATTCATATCTACAGCAACAAGCTCGGTCATCAACAATGACTAACAATACAGATTCATCATCATCGATTACTAATTGTGATACAAATAGTAGTAACACTAATCTTAGCGCTGGTTCAGCTTCCGTACATCAAGTTGTCCCTCCACAACATCTAACGGATGAAGGTAGGCATTTCAATTCAAATTCGAAATTGATTACTGAAAATTTTCTTTCAACAGTTCGAAAATTATCACTCGAAAAAGACGTGCTCAATGATACAATATCTAAATTACGAGAAGAAAATCAACGATTACATATGGAATCACAAACGGCATCTCAACAACTTCGAAAATTGACCGAATGGTTTTTCAATTCGAATCCGAATGCTGTGACAACGACGGCGTCGACTACTGTTTGTGAACCTTCACCAACTTATTCCTCAAACACAACCAATACGACCACAATTTCGATACATCCTAAGCCAAAATCGATAACGACATCAACACCAACATCAATTTCAACGACAACGACCGAACAAACAATTCAATAGATCCGATGCAAAGCCAATTCTTAGTTGTGATATTCTCATTTATCAAAGACAATTTTCTAACGAAACTTACCATTGATTTTATCACATTATTTTTATTTACTAACATTATACATTTTTTTTTAATTTTCACCGATATTAACATGATTTGATTTCATTGTATTTATTTAACATTTCATTGATATCGACAAATTTGTATTGCCATTGTACAATTGTGTATACAAAAGTCAAATTAACTTTTGAATTGCATATAACGCACAGAATATTTAATGTTTGCTCATCATCACCTTTTAAATTTGATTTATTCATTCATTCCAATTTTTTTTTGTCATTAATTAACCGTTGCATTATTGTTCAATATTTTTTTCTTTGTCATTATAATAATCGATTTTTTCGGCTTCTTATCAAATTAATTTAATTAATAAAATAATTTTATTCAAAAATTGAATTATTTTAAATTTTTATTATAAATTCAAAGTTATTAATCATAATTAATGATTTTGTTCATAGTTTTAATTTTGATTTATTAATGATATCGTTATTTTAATGTCCGATTCAAATCGAAAAAAACGATCAAAATCAAAATCTGTCAAGCTCAGATTGAATTCACTCATTGGTAAATTTAAATCTGGACCTAAAAAATCAATGACATTATCGGCAGCTATGCGTCCAAGTAGTCGTGAACAATCACGATCATCTTCAAGATCGAAATCGAGGTCGAGATCAAAATTAGACAGTATCGATGTTAGATTATCGCGATCACAAATAAAGCTAATCGCAGATCTTGTCAGTAAAAATATATTCAAATTATTCGTATGTTCTAAACATCAAAGAATAATGCGTAAAGCACGAAAAGAGAAAAAAATACAGACATGTTGTATGACAGATCATATTGCCCATTCTGTTATTCAACTTCAGCTGCAACAAGAACAGCAGCAAAAACTTCAATTTCAACGTCCACAACAACAACAACAACAACAACCGCAACCTGTACAATCAAAAGTCATACCGACACCTCGCAGCCGAACACCACGTGGCTTAATTAAGCTTATCAATTCTAGTTGGTTAAATTTATTGACAAAATCTCCAAAAGTACTGAAACGGTCAAAATCAAAAAAATCGAAGCCAAGTCGACGAAAATCTCTTCAAATCAAAAGTATATCGAAATCAATTTTAAACAAGCAAAGTCTTGAACAGAAATCAAAACAAATAGAGGAAAACAGTCAGCAGTCGGTTAACATATTGATTCAAGTAGAAAGCGATGCCAAGCATAACGATGAGAACGTCAAACCGACCTTAGAAAAAAGTGAACAGGATATTCCAGTTGCAAAAAGTGATCAGGATAATATTCCAGTCGCAAAAAGCGGACAGGATAATATTTCAGTCGCAAAAAGCGAACAGAATAATATTCCAGTTGCAACAAGTGAACAAAATGATATTCCGGTTGCAAAAAATTCAAACGAAAAAAGTTACGATTCCGAAACGTCATCTAGTACTGAATCTCAATTAGAAAAAGCCAAGGATTCGATAGAAATTCAATTGAAAAAATTGGAAAAAATGGATGTAGTTTTGATGAGAACATTGATAAAACCAAGAACAATGTCTGAATTGTTTGATTCGAAATCGGCTAAACAATCACAAGACGAAATATCTCCACTAATTAAAATGAATGAAAAATCCGAAATGATCATTTCAAAAATTCAAAAACCTATCAAATCATCAACAGGCAATGTGGTCGCAAAAAAAGAGCTGAATTCATTAGAAAATCCTGATACATCCTATAAAATTCGATCATTGAAAAAAATTAACGATAAAGATGACAGCAGCAAACTGAATTCAATGAAAATGCTTATTACAACTAATGATTCAATTATCAAATCTAAAGCTATATCATTATCAAAAGTTCAGCTAAATTCCGAAGGTTTAAAAAATAAAAATTTACAAAATGATATTCATTTATCATCATCAAAACTTTCAACAACACCAACAAAATCGACATTACAATCATCCGCAAGCAGACTCAAAGCTAAAAATGTCGGTAAAACAATTTCGTCATTTTCAATCAGTAAGCAAATGTTATCTTTATCACGGCCAACACCTTCGCCTTTAAGGAAATCAATGATTCAAAAAGATATTAAAGTTGATAGGAAAACAAATAGAATCGAATCGATTCTAAGCAAAAACAAACAACAACCACAATCTTCAACAATGAAAAAAGAAGAAAATGAAAAGATTTTCGAAAAACAAAAAAGTATCACCAAAGATGATAATGATGATTATGGCAAGCCGCCTAAATCACCAGAACTATTGCGTTTCTCATCCGGTTTAGTTTCAACAGGTGCTATTCATTTGGAAGAAGAATCCGAATCCGAATCCGAATCAAAATCGTCCAGCAACGATTGCGAAAAAAGTTCTAATGCACAAACCATAACGAAAAAGGAATCCAGTTTTACAGGTGAATAATCTTCAATAATTGTAACATCAGTAAAATTATCTAAACCAATTTTTACAGAAAAAAATGTCCAGGATCATCAACAATCTCGGCCTTCAACAGTTCTGGACGAATCAAACCAACAAAGTTGATATTTCATAAACTTTCCGTAATTTCATATTATTAAACAATATAATAATAATCGAATTTTAAAAATATCCGAAAAATTTTACTTTAATTTTCAATCTTCAACCGGATCGGTCAATAGCTCATGTTCAATCCATTTACGGCAAAGTTTACGATCAACTTTACCGATCGATGTTCGTCCCAATTGTTTGACAAATTTAACACCAGCTCGAAGTTGTTTCTGAAAGCCCAAATTATCTGTAACAATTTATGTCAATCATTGTTGATATTGTTATACGATAAAAACTTACCTTTGGCATATTTGATCAATTCTTGTTCGGTAATTTGATGACCTGGACGGATTTCAACATATGCTCGTAACCATTGTCCTTCTATTTGATGTTTCACACCAACAACACATACAGCATCAACCGCAGGATGTCCTGATAAAAATTCTTCAACTTCGATTGGCGATACGCTCCAAAAGCGAAATTTAGTCATCTCTTTGATTCGATCCATGATAAATAAATTACCTTGCTCATCAAAATAGGCTAAATCACCACTATGATACCAGCCATTAGAATCAATTGATTTGGCAGTAGCCTCTTCATTATTTAAATAGCCAACAAATCTTTGTGGCCCTCGACAACAAAGTTCACCATTCGAATTTGGCGGCAAATTTTGACCTGTTTTCAAATCAACTATCTTTATTTCGCAATTGGAAATCGGGCGACCGACTGTTCCTGGCGGATCAGTGCCATCAAAGCACATGCAAGTTGGGCCCATCATTTCGCTTGAACCATACATATTGAACATCATTACATTGTATTTTTGTTGAATTTCGTCAATATGTTCTTGAGGAACTTTTGAACCACCATATGATATCATACGTAATGATTCAAGATTGTATTTCAAATGAAAATTTTCACGTGCCAAATCAGTCGAATGACTTGGTGACATAACCAACTGTGTAATCTTATATTTTTCCACTGAAGAGAGTAAATTTTCAAGATTATAATCAGCTTCAAGTACCAATGTCATTCCATAGCATAGATTGTAACAACTAACTATCGATCCGGAAATATGTCCCATCGGAAACCAAAATGAGTAAATTGCAGGGCAAATGACTGGCTTATATAGTTCAATAAGTGACACCATTGTAAAATGTGTATGAATTACTCCTTTTGGCAATCCGGTTGTGCCCGATGTGTATACAATAAACAAACAATCGTCTTTACTAGTTTCAAAATAAGGAATTCTTTCCAAATGATCGCTTTGGTTTTCGGAAATTTGTTTTATCGATATTATTTGTTCAGGAGTTTTTGGATGTTGTTTTAATTTCTGAATCATTTCCATATTCTCATCTGAATCAAAAATGATTATTTTTTTCAATTTTTTAATAACAGATGCATATTTTTCATTCTCAAGAGCTAGAAACAAAACTGTCTCCACATGACAACGATCAATGATTAAAATGGATGCATTTGAATCACGTAGTTTATTGGCCAATTCATAGGCTCCATCGCCCGGGCTTGCGGGCACAAAAACAACACCCAAATAAATGAGTGCAAATCGTGAGTAAAAATATTCGAGATTGTTATCAGCGAAAAAAAGTATCGAATCTGTTTTAGTGATTCCTGAATTCAAAAATCCTTGACCATATTGTTGAATTTTTCGATTTAATTGTTCATAAGTTAATTTTGTTCCATCCTGTGAATCGATCTGAAAGTATTTGAGCATAAGAAATTAATGCCTTTATTTGCTTGCAGATTTTTTAATTTTAGAAAAAAAAATTAATTTACTTACTAAAGCTATTCGTTCGGGATCTTGGGCACTAATTTTCTGATATAAATATTCACTCAAGGTCAATTCAGGAATCTTGATTGGATCGCGTGTTGATTTAACAATGTACTGCTCTTTAACTTCTTCGGCTGGCATTTTGATGTTATAACTTTAATTTTGAATAAAATGTTTTTTTTCTTAACAAAAAATAATTTGGCGAATAAAATAATTTGAATTTATATAAACTGTTTCCATTTTTTTTTTGCTCGAAATCAATAATTATTTCAATTTATCAATCATTTTGATGGTGTCATTTAAAATGAGTTTTTTCCAAGTCAAATATTTAGCATTCATTTTTTTTGATAAAACGAAAATGAAATTTGATCACTTAATTATATGCCGACTATGATGATATTTTTTATAAAAATATAGATTTTTTCACTGTAACTGATTAAAAAAAATTGTACTTATTGGACTTGACGTCACTATCAAAGTTTTTTTACGAACAAAATCCTTTCGATTCCATTATGGTGTGACATAGATTTGAATTTCTTGATCAACTAATCAATGTTTATTTTCAGCATTGATAATGAAGTACAATTAGAATTACTTTTACCCTACACGCTACGCTACAATGATCCAGAATCTAATTGCAATCATTCAATCATTTTAGCAGCTTATTGTGATTGATTTGGGAGAATCTCAGCTTTGAAAATATTACCACATAGGCCATAATCTATATCGAAAAAACCCTTATGTCCTTATCATACATCATTATCATTGCGATTAATGTACATATTTGAACTAAATTTTGATTTATTCAATTCCTTTCCGATCATTCATATGATCGAATAATTTTTATTTCGAATGCTTACATTACATTACATCAAGTACAATTGTACCAAAATTATTTCTTATTTAAAAATTTCATTAACAAGACAAGCAAAAAAAATCAAAAATATATTAGAAACCTCGAGGAGTTGATCCAGGAAATGATAACAAATGTGTAGAATTTCGTTTGGAAACTGTTAAATTTTTCGGTAAACTATTACGTCGTGATTCTAGATCTAGTTTACATGTTTCAGTGAATACAATTTCGATTGGCACTTGTTGTCGTCGGCTTGCTTCTCCTACTATTGCATCCAATGTTTTATTCCAGATTTTATCCGTACCAAAATCATTGACACGTAAAAATGTTAGATTCGGTAGTTTAGTAACTAACGTACTCATTCCAATATCAGTTATTTCGGGTGAAACAATATCCAAAAATGAAAGATTGTTCAAACCGGCCAAATTAGTCAATGCTTGATCATCAATGTCTAAGCCTTCTAATTCAAGAGTCTCTAAATTGGGTAAATTGGAAGCAAATTTATCCAACAATGTTTTCGAATGATTTTTAAGAATTAATCGTAAATTTTTCAAATTTTTCATATTTGCCATTGGTGCAAGGGTTTTGTTGATACGAAAATCGATATGACGCATTGGTGATCGACCATTCAATGTTAATTGTTCAAGTTTTGAAAGTTTTCCAATCGCATCTATAAGCACATCTCCATCGCCCATCCAAACGCAAATATTTACGTTAGTTAAATTTGTGGCTAATTTAGTTAACAATTGTGCCAATTCTTTTTCAATGGCAACATTTGCAGTACAAGTTATCGATAATTTGGTTAAACCAGTCAAATTTTCCAAAATTTTGATAAATTCGGGTGTTTTTTCTTTAGTGTTGGCCATTGTGATGTCCAAATGTCGTAAATATGGTGCATATTTGACTGTAAATTGTGATAGCTTGTCCAATTCATCACCATTTATTCGTGACCAAACATGACGCAAATTGGTGATTGTACCATTGCGTTCAGACAACAATCCAATAGCATTGTCCAGATGTAAAACTTCAAGATTACCAATTGATTCAATTAATGCTTTCAAACCGACATTTGTTACCTCAGTATTGCCCAACATTTCAAGATGTGCAATATTTTTACCAAATCTTTGACCTTTGATTTAATAAATTAAAATATAAATAAGTGGATTATTATTTAAAAAGAAACTTACCAAACAATTTGACCGCTTCATCATTGATGCCCAAACAATCATAAATACGTAAACATTGAAGTTTTTGCATACCACAATCGCCAATCATTTTTATAGCCGATGATGATAATTTAAGGCCACCAAGCTCAAGACATAGAGTATTGACCGCTGAAAGTTTTGCGAATTCATTTTCGTTCAATGGTTTTTGTTCATCAAGTTCATTTTCTTTTGTGAATAGAATTAAATCTTTAAGATTCGATCCGGCACGATGTTGATCATCTTCACAAAAATTGCGTTCACGGTCACTAAGACTAATTTTAATTGTTTGTAATTCGTTGGACATTTTCTTGATTAAGATTTTATTTTCCACTGATTGGAATCAACTATTCAACAGTAACACGAACTTTTATGTGTTATATGTGAAACCAGACCTCTCCCCAAAAGTCAAAATTTTTTGCCAGACTATTGCAGTCGATTGTGATTATTATTCATTCATTACATGAATATGCTTCTATATTTAACTTTTTCTAAAAGTTTACGCCAAAATCATTTTGGCACCGATTCCTTATTACGATCAACTATCATATACAAATAACGGTTGACGTTGGCTTTGATTATTTCATTCTTCTTTCAACAGAAAAAAAAATCAAAGTTTGCTTCGTTTCACATCTTTGATATGAATTTCTATTTTTTTTCATATATTTCAATTTCAGTAAGAAATTGTCAAACACTAATCAATTGGAAATTTATTTGGCATTTTCTTTACAAATTAACGAAATGTCATAACAAAATATTATGATTACATTTACAGCCGCTAGATGGACCTTTCTATGAATAGAATTTCATTCGATTTCCGTCAAAATTATTGATTTGACATCTGATTGATTGGTTGACATTTAAGAAATTTTTTTTAGTTGTCGTTATAAATAAAAGGTGAGAAAATCATTTCGAACAACATATTTACAACTTTTTTTTCCTAATCGATCAACCAATCGTTATTATTTTTTTTTGTCATTTTTGTTTCAATGATTTTATCATCAATCAGCTAAGCATGTAAGTGAAATGGGTAGAAAGAAAAAAGTTTAAATTGAATCATCTGCCTGAACAAACACTAACCACATTTATTTATGCCGATTCTATCAAGTGAAATGACTAAAAACGGGTCAATCGATATTCAATTCTGGCCACGATTTTTTCCTCCTAAAAGCCTTTCAGTTATATTTAATGTTGATTTTTGTAGAAAATAAAAATTCCTATTCATAGATGTTCGAGAAAGAAAATTCTGTTAACGATAGTTCTGTCTTTTGTTTTTCTGTTTGAATGTTATGAAACAAAAAAAAATGTTTGAATCCATAATATACCTATTGCTTTAAGTAGCAAGACATAGAAAGAAACTAAGATTCTTTATAAAAATAAAGATATCAAGTGCCATCAGGGACCATCATTGTATTTGATAGTAAACAATAACAACAAAAACAACCAGGGAACTTCAATATTTTCTTATTCGATTCGGTTCGGTTGTTTGAATTTTTAGTTTCCGTTTAACTCTGAATCCCATTATATTTTTCGTCAGGTTTTTTTTTCATTCATTGTCATCAGTTTTGATTCATTCATTCAACCAACCAACCAGCCATCCAACAAAACATATTGAATACAAATGTGTGTGTGTATAGAATATATTTATTTATACGTGGAAAAATAAAATAAACTTTTTTTTTTACTTTTATAAAGAGAAAAATATTAATTCTAGTCGAATAGTTTTTTCACAAAAAAAAAGAAAAAGAAAGAAGTGACAACAAAATAAGAACCAAGAAAAAAAATCTCGGGAGAAGGAAATGCATACTTTTTAGTGAAAATTTTTTTTGTTGTTGAAAAAATTCTGAAAAGATTTTTATCCGTGTTATAGAATCACTAGACAAAAAAAAACAAAACAAAAATCAACTTTACATCCAATGATTTTTTTTGTTTCATTTCTTTCTTTGCATTTAACCCGTAAAATTGTTTACAACTATTTTATTTTTCATTCATCAGTCATAGTTATCGAAATGATACGAATTATATCAGAACAAAAAAATACATTGATCAAGATTGAAAGTTTTTTTAAAAAAAAAAGATTTATCACATTTGTTTGTTGTTGTTGTTGTTGTTGTACAAGCGTGTGACTGAAGAATACAAAGAAAAACAGAAATCGCTTACATCGACTAGAATCGATGTGCGAAAAAATGATGATGATGATGATGATTGCATAATTCATTTTATCTGTAATCATATATTCTCGTTGATTTTTTTCTTTCTATTTCTCTCAATTTATCATTCACTTTTATCGAATATACCGAATGTATACAGCCTTCTCGGGATAGATTTGAATACAATAAAAAATTTACATAAACAAAACGGAATATAAAAAAAGGAATAATAATAAGAATAAAATTATCATATTTTTGTTCTTGTTCATTAACTTGAAGAAACATATATACATACTGAATAAATGAATGGAAAAGTAAGAAAAAAAATCATACGATTTTAAATATACGTCGAATTTTATACAATAATAATTTGATCAATATCAATTTATACACAATTTTATTTCTTTCTTCTATTTTGAATAATAATAATAAATTAGTAATGTATGTTGTATTTTAAACATGAATTTTTTTCTTTTCCATTCTTCATTCTTTCATTATTGAATATATGACACCAGGTGATTTCATTAACCAAAAAGAAAAAATGAAATAAAATAAAACATTTATGATTTTTTTGTAGAATAATATTTCCTAGCTGTTTCATTCGTTCAATTAATGATTTATTTATTTTCATTTCGTTTTTTTGTTGTTGATAAAATCATAATTAAAATAGACATATATTCTTCTAACACAGTGATAAATAATGTGATATTTGCAATATGACATTGTATATTTATTTATGTAGAGATATTGTATCTTCTTATTCTTCTTATGATGATGATCAGGTTTCTAAATATTCTCAAGTTGCCTTCCTCTCATCCATTGACATTTGTCATTTCTAAATGATTACATAATCATCATCATCATCATCTTGTGATTGCATCATCATTTTCCACCCGAAAAACAAGAATTTCAAATTTTGATTTCCATTAAATTAAATTCAAATATTTCCAAAAAACTTTCAAGACCAACACCAACGAAAAAAAACTTGATAAATTTCAAAAATATTTTCCTTTCATCACACATTTATTGAATATTAATTTGAAAATCTGATCATCATCACCATAGAATAATAATTTCTTTCTTTTTCTTTCGTTTTGTTCAATTTTTATCATTTAATTTTCCAATGAAATTATGCTATCAATGATAAAATAGTCTAAACACACACATACACACACACCAAAGGAAAATTGAAAAGATCAAATTTCTGATGAGAATCTCATCATCATCATGATCATGATGGCATTTATTTTCGATAATGAAAATCTTTCTTTCAAATCGACGGGTTATATCATTTGGGAATTTTCTTTTGTTTATTTGTCACACACAAAACAAAAACAAAAACAAAAACCAATATCTCTTATGGAGATAAATAATCAATTAGGTGTTGAAATGAAGAGAAAGAATGAAAATAAGCGACAAAAAGCAAGCAAGATAAGCACGTCCACTTTTATTGTTTGAAGATTAAAAGCCTAGATCTTTCGGCTAGAATGATTATTATTATTATTATTATTATTATCATTTTATCCATCGTCATTTTCGTTATTATTATGATGATGATAATGATAATTTTTATATGATAATAATTGGAATTTGGGACTTTACTTTGGTATTGTGGTATGTTTGGATGGGAAAATATTGAAACAAAAAAAACGAAAACAATTTTTCCTATTTCTCTTTTGGTTATTTCTCCATTCTCATTTCATGATAAACTCAATTTGATTGAATTAAAATAAAAAAAATATAACAACAAGCATATTGTTGAGGACAAACACCGATGAAAAAGACAGTAGAAAGACCGAATGAGAAGACCAAGCAACCAAAATGGGAAAAAAACTGGCAATCCAAAACTAAAAGCCATTAGTGTGTCAAAAAATTTCGTCATTCATAAATTATATTAGTGAAACATATAAACATTAACATGGACACACACACACACATCATTCACATTTTTTGTTTTTGGTGTTGTCGGACTTTAATAATCTAAACACAGGAACCGACAACCGAAATGACAAACAAACAGACAAAATAGACCGGCCAACAACCGAGAAAAAAAAACATCCTTGTGTGCTGATCATTCGACTGCTGATGACTGACTTGATCATTTTGTTCAGCAAAAAAAAAAATTAAAATTAATCGAATCCATTGAATTCTGGAGCCTTTTTTTCATTAATTTCTCTTTTTTTCCCTTCCTTGTTTTGAGTATTTGTTGTTGTTGTTGTTATCGGTACTACTGTTTGTCGTTCAACGACGTCAATATATTGACCGTATGACATACACCCAGGGAATGATCAACAACAAATTTTCAAAAAAAAACAAATCGAAATAAACACGCAATTTTCGTTCATCAAAACATAATTTGAGATAAAAAAAAAGAAAAATCATCAAATGGACACTGATAATGGAAATTAAAGATAATTAAAGTTTTTTTTCATTGCTTTGCCCAAAAATGATCATCATCAATGTTTGTTCACTATTCAAAGTCTACATTTTTCTTTTCTTTCCCCAATTATATTCAACAACAATGATTATAAAAAAGAATCTGGACTGAAAATAATAATAATAATTGTTTCAATGATTGAGTCGAATCAAAAAAATGAATGAAATTTTTTTAAATAATAACATTAATAATATGAATCATAAGACATCATAGCATCTTCATTCTTACCTTTTTAAATATTATTTAGCATTAAAATAACAAAAAACTATAATGGAAAATGTCAAACGGTAAATCGAAATGTTAACAACAACAACGAAAAAAAAAATATGAAAGGATTCATTTAACTAAAGATGATTCTTTCATTCATTCATTCATTCATTCATTCATTTTGTTCTTCTTTATGAATATACATCTAATGTTTGCTGAACCATGATAGAATTTTATTTTATTTTTTCTTCCATTACTTTTATTCAAACAGATTTGTTGGATGGATTCTATGCCATCAAATGAAAGCAGAAAAAAAATGTTGATAAATTTGAAATGAACTTTTTAATTAAAGGTTGATTTTTTTTTGGATGAAAATAGACAATGATTACAATAGTAATGACAATGATGATATTATGTTTTTGAAAATGAAAACATTTATTTAGACATTTACAGAAAGAGAAAATAAACAGAAAAGAATTCAATTTCCAAAATAATTATTCGAAACAAACACGTACATCATCGATGATGCGATTCGAAGATTTTCTTTGTTAACATAGTTTTTTTCTTAATTTAACGATGATTGTTAATTTTACTGTGTTTCTTTTTTTGTTCTGTCATTCATTTCATCATTACTAAGAACTTGGATGAATTTTAAT